TTTTTTTTTTTTTTTTTTTTTTTTTTTGCATCTTTTAAATGAGCTGCAAGCTATATAAACAGATTCTTGGGGGAAAGGGACTTCTTAATCTCTACTCAAACTTTCAGAAAAATTTGCTTCTAAAAATTATCAACAAATAATCCAACTGGACTACCTTCAGATGATGTGGCAGATCAAATTAACTTGTTTTCACCTTAATCTGTTTTACAGGTCTTCTGAAGCCCCTGCCCCTTAATCCAAACCAAAACTTTCTGATATTTCAAAGTTCAGTAAGACTCTGGTATTATAAATTCAAACTCAGTACTGCCATCTGTTACATTCTGTTTAAAAATTGAATCATTTTCCTGCTGAATAAAAATATCTTCCCAGGTCATTGGCTTGTTCTGAGGAGTAGATGTGGTCCCTACTGGAGGTTCTTTTCCAGCATCAACCTTATATCCAATACCATCATCCTTTATTGCAGGCATAGTGCTTGACCTATCAGAAAGGTACGCATATCGTCTGATCTGTAAAGACCTGCATGGATGTAAACGATAAAGCTTTGAATCCCCAGAAGGATCTTTGCTGTGAACTGACTTTATGTGTGAAGACACAAACTGGTAGTTGATAAAAGATTTGCCACAGGCCAAACACTGATACCTTCGCTCCCCTGTGTGATGAATTTCATGTTTTGTGCGATATTCTGCAAGAGGAAATACCTTCTCACAGTAACGGCATGGATACTTTTTCTCCCAAGAATGAATGTTAAAATGTCTCCGCAAGCTTGTCAGACAGACATAGGACCTTTTACATACAATACAGATATAATAGACCCTTCCATCTACTATTAATTCATAGTGATCATCATGTTTTACTTTCATACGTTTGTTTGCCGTCTCACTGCCAGATGTTTTTGGTATCTCATTCTCAAGTCTGGCTTCCCCTTTGTCAGGGTCATCTTTGACAGGGATCACTATGTCATAAGTATCTTCACCAATATTTGCATAAACCTTGCAACCAGTTGACAAGCCTTCAATTTCAGTAGCTGTGTCTAAAGTAATGATCTTCTGACCCTCCATTAGATGTTTTGGTCCTAAACCTGGACCATTAGTGTTCCTAGTAATTACATCCGAAATTTTTAAAGAATTGGAAGGTGGTTCTTGCAGAAGCGTAGGAATCTGCATCTTCTGTATCAATGATCCATCAAAAGTGGTATTTTGGGAGGCATCAGCCTGTGGGACCAAAGATGTATTACTGACTGCCGAGTCTGGACTGGAGCTAATAGTGTCATCATCATCATCTATAATTTCCTCCTCTTCCTCTTCATTGGCCTTGTTTCCCGTTAAAAGAGCACTGTTTGATGTCTGCTGATTCTGTACAAGTAAATCGATTGAAGAGGACGTATGATTTGGAAGTGAAGAACTGACACTTGGTGGTGTAGTAAGTGGTGTCTGATTTAACAAAATAATGTTGGGAGTCAGATGTGTTGGAGCTGAAGATACCAGCAATTTTTCACTTCCTTGTGTTTGGCTCAGAGTTGCCTGATTCACAGGAGTAGGAATTTTCTGAGTAGGTGTGATATTTGTTAAAGGGGGAGAGCTACTGGTAACACAAGATGCATTATCTGAAATAGCAACGGGGCCTGGGTTAGGCTGCACCTGTGCCACTACATTGTTACTTGGCAAAGTCTCCTTTGCAGGCAGAATCTCAGAGCAGAAAATGACATCATCATCATCATCATCATCTGAATCGGTAACAATGATCTTTTTTGTTTCATAATCTTTAGCAGATAATGAAAAAGATTCTGTTATAATAGGCATTATAGTAGCCCCATTATCTTGGGCTTCATCTTTTGATTTTTGTATTACAAGATTCTTGTCACTAGAACCAGAAGGTAAAGTTTCATCATTACCATCCTGAGTAGTACCTGAGATGCTTTTAACCTGTGACAGTGGGACACCAAGCTCTGCTATAAATTTCACTCCTAATAACTGCCCTGATTTAATTAACTCATCAAGTAAATCTGATCTAACACGAACAATTTTAGAACTATAGATATAATTGAGAATTTCTGCAAAGATCTCTGCTCTTATAAAGCTCAGTTCAACAACTTGCCCGGCAAGTGAGAAGAGCTGATGGAAGTATGTACTAGAAGCTGAAAGAATATTCTTGTGAGCCCGGAATTTTCGGTCTTCTACAATAACGGTAACATCACAGAAGAGTCCATGGCCACGTTGCTCATTCAAGGAGTTCAACAGGCTGCCAGAGTACTGAATGTCTGTAGCAGAAATCAGTTTTCTGCTCTCCATGCCTATAAGAGAAAGGGAAGAGGAGGAGATGGGAAAGCATTAGGAAGGGAAAAAAAAAAGTACTTTATCATTCAGAATTTAAGCCACTGTATCATTAGTTTATTCAAGTTATAACCAAATTTTGGCATAACTTTTTAGCTTTTATATAAATTGTTCATACAGGCTGGCTTTTGGACCATGTATCAAATCTCATGACATCCTTCAGAGAAGAATCAAGCAAGTTTTAAATTGCTATACAGATATGAACAGTAATCTCCATAGTCACCTTCCTTTTAATCTCAGATACATGCATCTCCACTAAGCAATTTTTAAAGAATAGAATTAATTTTCTTAGTTCCAATTTTGGGTTTTCTCCTCAAGAAGAAGTAAGAGTTAATTTTTAGCTGTCTTAAAAGTGTTAAGGAAAATCACCATCATCATGAATGCACAGAAGTTATTTCATCTGTAATGATTTAAATGTCAGAAAAGCTTGGTGTGTGTAATACTGAGTTAAATACATACACCTCTTAAATTTTAACTAATCTTATCTTTAAGAACATATTCAAAAGCTACTCCCTGCAGCCAATGACACTTATAAACACTGACAATTATTACCTCTCAACTTTCCATTATTTTTCTGTTATTTAAATCGGGGTGCCTTATCTTTATCAACTACTAAACATCTTTCTTACCCTTTCCTCTTTCTTCATCCCCTTGCCCCTTCCCCTCACCTCCCTACCTTTACCATCTCCAGAGGTAAAATATTAAAGAGTGCCAAGTGAAGTCAACTGATGCTACCTTGAAAAAATAAGACAAAGAGGAAAGTTTACCATTTCTTAATGCTTATTTGCACAAAAAACATGAAATATTTTTTGGTAAGAATTATGTGCATTGGTATAAGAACATTTTTTCACATCAAATGAGTTAGTAAAAATGGAAACATTTACTGGCAAAGAGCAGACATTACTCTTGAAGGGGTGGGGGAGATGTCAGTAAAACACATTGCTGTGTACCACCCCCAAAACACCTTTTTTTTTCTTTGGTATTTCACAGAAGATATTCCTAGTAACAATAATGCCAGAGTTGATTAAAAAAATTAATATATAAATATCCATATGTATATATGGATATATTAACAATTGATAAGTACTTTTAGTAAAGAAATTTTATTGTTAATATTCTTTTCCTTTAAAGTTACCAAGAGAATGTCACTGTCACAGTGCTTAAGTTATGTAAGTGTGGAAGGAAGAATGCATCAAATACTTTTTAAATTTTTCAAAACTATAGCTTAAGAACAAAAGGTGGGCAAAAAGTCTAAAAATCAAGGATTTAAAACATCATCTGTTAGAAGGTGTTGCATGTTAACAATACCAAGGAATTCCAGGTTACAATAAAGGCCGTCATCAGAAGGGGTGACCTTTGGACAGCACACCAATAACCAGAGTTTCCTAAACACGGGGATTTGGACAGAAATCACCTTTAAGTGAAGAAACAGGTTTTCTGAATACGGTCCTACAATTTTTGTTGTTTGCAAATGGGTTTTTCCAATGTGGGAATGCAACAAATGTACATGTTTAGGTGACACCGGGACTTGGTTTCGTTTTGTTTAAGTGTCCCCCTCCTCCCCGTCAGGGTGGGCCCAGGGATAGTAACAAGCTCGTCTGAACCCACCCCCAAGATTTGCCACTTGACTGTGGAAAAGCCATTCCTCATCATTATGAGATAAATACTTGACCGAGAGCAGGTTTGAAGGGGCTGGTGAGGTGGGAAAAGATAAAAGCCATCTGCGAGAGAGTGAAACAAATCGACACATGGCTCCCTGCGGCAGCTGAACCTCATCTCCCTTCCTCCACCTCCCTCTTCCCCATTTGCACCCTGCCAGCTGCAACCGAGGTTTTTAACCCCAATTCACGTGAAAAGCCAGGTTCTTGCAATAGAGATGGAGGTACAAACAGCAGAGTGAGGGCAGAGGGAATAAGGGGTGCCAGGGAAAGCAAAAGGTGGCGAACAGTAGGGTGCGGTGTTGGGGGGGGGGGGGCGGGAGAGGAAAGCAGGCGGCATTGTTATGCCCCGGGAAGGGGACGATGGCCCCAGCAGAAAAGCTCTAAATCAAAGTAAGGTCCAAAAGGAAAAAAAAGAGGCACAAAAAGAAAGGCAGAGGGGCGAGAGAAGCCAAGTGGGTCTCTGTGGTGAGCTCCCCACGCCCCGGGCCTACCCAGGGCACCAAGAGCCCTGCGGCCCCTGACGGCGAAGGGGAACGCGCCGCGGCCCTCCTGGTTCGTCCCCTCCTTCACTCCGCGGGTCACACAAAGAAATCGCCGGAGGAGCGGAGCTTCCGACTCCGCCGCTTCCTGGTTCAAGTGAGGCGAATGCAAACGCAGGCGCGGCCCAGGGGCTGAGGAGGCCGGCACGCTGCTTCGCCCCTTCCCGGACTGGGGCCCGGTCCTCACCTGCTTCCCGGCGCCGCCGCTTCTCCTCCTCGGGCCGCGCGGAAGGGTGAGAGCCCTCCGACAACAAGAAGCGGGATTCCCCGGCGATTATGCTCCTTCTTTAAACGTTGCTCCAGTCTTGGTCGACGTCGACGCGGCTGCCGCCACCGCCGCCACAGCTGCCCCACGCCGCCGACAGAGAGCACAGCGCGGGGGTGAAGCGCTGGAGTCAAAGGCGCCCTCCTCTTCCGAGCGCAGTCCGGGGCCGTCCGGAAGGGCCCGAGCTTTAGGCGGCTCCGCTTCGGCGCCCTACTCTGCCTTCGGCTCTTTCCGCAAGGGGGCGGAGGAAGACTGGAGGCTCTTGAAGGGTTCGGCTCTTTCCGGAGAGCGAAAGGGTGGGAAAAAGGAAAGGGAAAGATCTGGTAACACAGTCATAAGCAGTTGGAGAGAAAGGGAAGCTTGTCTCTTTCATCTAAATTCAGTGCAAGCTTCTAGAGCATAAAAACTTTTGGAGACTTATACGTATTTCGTTTCTTTTGCAAGTTTGAATCTGCTCTAGTAGCCTGTTTGTTAAATGATAAACCACTTTGAAATATAAGCTGATTAAATATAATCGAATACAGTTTATCAACTCATTATGATAATTCAAGTTCTAGGATAACAAGACAACTACATTATACTAACTACTTTTAAGAAAGAAATCTAGAGTTTGGACAAGTACTCTCTTAATTAAATGCTAAATGATGCAGTACTTACTATGTTAATTCCTTTATTTCAATTAACGTTTACTGACCCCATGTTTGCATGTTTGCATTTATAACAAACCCTATGTTAGGCTCTGTGGAATGCAAAAAATGAATAAACCAAGAGTCTCTTCCTTTTTAGAGAACTCAGTAGATAAGTACACAAAAATGGTCAAAAGTTTTCGTACAAGGTATAGAGAAGCACAGACAAGGGAATAGCAAACTCACTGTTGTCATTTGAGCTGTATCTTGAAAGATGACTCATATTAACACTTGCATTGTTATTTTCTTATTTCCATAGCATTTCATCCTCAAAGTGTTTTAGTGTCTGACACATAGTAGGTATCCAGTAATTGTTCAGTGCATTAATAAATTGTGAGTTACATAATTTTAAAAAATCCTCTGGTAATACACTTCTGACTGACTATCATTAGGAATGAAGCAACAGAATGGGTGTTTGGAGAGCAAAATATTTCCCTTTAGGCTGGTTTTGATCATGCTCAACTAAGGAACCAAATAGCAACTTTTTTCCTGTAACAGTTAAGGCCATTCACTACCTTCACTTGCTTTTTAAAAGATATGTATAGGATAATATTGCATCAGTTTCCAAAAACTTGAATTTTCACCTATTTACCTTTTAGTTGGAATTCTTGTGCTTCTTTTCTACAAAAATCTTGCTGAAAATGTCCATTAGGGTATTCCAGAGAGAAAACAGATCTAACTATATCTAATTTTCTTCAATAGGAATCAGACATAGGTGTCATCATCTATCTATCCCTAATCTGTTCTACATTCTCCTCAGTAAAGCCACATAGTAAAACATCAAGGTGATGTAATACAGCTGTACTTTCACATGGAATTCCTTAAGCTCGTCTCCAACATTTTGTGGGAAAACAAACTATGTGGGAATTACTGCACTACTGATTTTTTATTAGAACTTAAAATTATAAAAGTTTCATTGTTTAATATAAAGACATTTCACCAGAAAGAGGAGTGCACGTTTATAAAAATAAACTAAGACATATTAGTATTTCCTGGCAACTCAGCACCTAAATTTAGTTAGTAGACTAATCACCATTTTTCTGAGTTATCTTCCCCAAAAATTTAGTAGAAAAAAAAAAAAAAAAAAAAAAAAACTTAGTAAATAGGTCAAAGTATATCTTGAAAGTTTAGGATCTATTTATCTTTTAGTAGCTTAGCTGACTGAAAGTAAAATGAGATATATCTTTGAAATATAGATCACAGTGGTAGTAGATGCCACTCTTGATACGATGTTTGTTGTTTACCTTTCACTATATTGGAAGACACAATACAATTTCTTTTGCACCAGAATTAACAACACGAAGGATGCCAACAGAACTGCCTTGCCCTTGTCCCTTTTCTGAAAGTGCTTGAAAAGGAGAAGCAACAGAGGTATGATAAAATCCTGTCAATTCAAACCACAGAAAACCTCTTCTGTTCTGGCCGTGTCACTCACTTCCCAACCAAGCAAAAACTAAAGTTTAAAAGCTCCTTATAATGAAAGGGGATCTAATGATCAGGAAAGGAATTTTATTTGTAGGAGAGCAGAGTGAACCAAGCAACTTGAGGGGCCTCAATAATTGTCTTTGGGACAGGACTATTGGAAAGTTTCATTAACTTTCTGTTTTTTTGATAAGTTATTCCACCTTTTCCTTTTTTTTTTTTTTTTTTTTTTAATCTGAAGGCTCAGTTCTTCTTCAAACAACCCAGGAGATTTTAGAGAAGAAACTATATCTAACGAATTTGGAGGTATCAATTGTTTCACCTTCAAGAAATATTTTTGATTGGCTGATAATGGAATCAGTTAGGTTTTATAACCACATTGTCAGCATTTGCTTGCCTTGTTTGAATTTGATTATGAATTCCATGGGGGCAGAAATTGTCCTCTTCTGTGTAAAATGCCAATAATCATGTGGATGCTTAATATATATTAACTGATGATGACAAAAGGAAAAGAGTGACATTTACTCAGTCCCAGAGACCTTCCTCTGAGTTATGCTTAGGCTCACAGATTTGCTGAGGTCACTACACAAAATAAGAAACCCCAGTAAAGTGGAAAAAATGTCTTGAGGAGATGTGAATGAGCTGAATTCTGGCACTGCCAGTTAGAAGCTCTGTGATCTTGAGCCTGATTCTTCACCTGTAAAATAGGGATAATATCAAACTCCCATACAGTCGTTATGAAGATTAAATGAATTAACTATGTATAATGCCAAACTGCATACAGTTTCCAGAATATGCCATGCTGTTCACTGCTTCTAAGTCCACACCTGAAACCCTGAGCCTGGAATCGTCATTCCCTTCATATCCACACCTCTCCTAACCTGTTGTCTGGATGAGTGCCTGGTCTTCCATAAAGACCTAATTCAAGCATTAACTTATTTGTGAAGCCTCTCTTGGCCCAATAAATGTAGAAAGATATGGTTATTTAATGAATGAATGTCTAGAACCCAATAAGTACTAAATATATGTTTGCTTTCTCATCACTATCTCCTTTTCTGATTAATCCCAACAAATCTCTCTTTAAGTGACCCACTTAATACTGCTGATTGCCCTTGTCTTCTTAAAATTTTCCAGCGTCAATTGGATAGGGATTTATAACCATCCTACCAGGAAAGGGGGAGTAAATACTTGCTAACAACAATATGAAGGCACTTCAAAAAGCTCATGGAAAAATAGAATTAAAAGATAATATGAGTCTTTCCATGAACTTTCTAAAGACCTCTCATACAATCTACAAAAAAAAAAAAAAACAAACAAAAAAAAACCCAAACATACAACTAGTTCCAAACATAAAAAAAAAATCAAGGGAATATACTACCCATGAGCCATTTGTGAAAGATTACTTGGCAATATGAAGTCAAATCAAATAAGAAATGAATCAAAATAATTAAGGGTTGTTTTGCCTCCCATGGATTTGTCACCCATTTTCCCTTGGGTGATGGAGCCACCAAAGATTACTCAAAGCCCATCTCTTCTGAGCAGTGAGATGACCCAAAAAGGGGTTAAACTACCAGAACACTACAGAGAGAGGCATTCCTTCCATTTGGGAAATTAAAAATGAATTGGGGTTCTCTTCCCACATTTATTCTGCAGACCAGGAAGTTACAGGAAGAGAACATAGGTGGGGTTCTTTCAAAGTACAGTTTAACAAGTTTAACAATAGAAGCTGGTAACATTCTGAAAGCTCTAAGATGGCGACGGGTCTGGAGCGGCCGTGCCAGAAGACAGCGCGATCCTGAGAAGTGTGCGCTGTGATACCAGAGTACTAATTGCATTAACAAGAGCAACAAAAAACGAATAATTCTTTCAACAACGATCCTACAATGACAAACAAGCAACAACAGGTTCGAGGTTTTAGGGCCGACACAAAAGAAGACTCCTGAGAGCGCCCAAGCCCTGCTGCAGGTACGAGCGAGCAGCCCAAGACAACAAAGGCCAAGTAAGCCAGCAGAGACTGCACAGAAACAGAGTGGAACACGCCGGACCGGCCTAACTCTGCGAGCTCTGTGAGTCACCCCCAGCCAAGCCCCACTTGCGGGGCGAAGCCTGACTGCTCCCCGCCCACCTGGCTCATGCCTACCACACCAGGCTAGGCGGCCACAACAGAGCTGCCTCCATTTTATCGGGTAGGGGTGGAGATGGCCGGCTTAGTGAGGGCAGGCCAGCCATCTCTGCTTGGCGTGGCTCCGCACTGAGATGTGCCATTTGCTTACCTCGGCGCGGGGCACCCCGGGGCCTGTGGACCGGCCTACAATCCCACTCTCCCCGCAGATCTCAGACGGGGCTGATAGCGTGGGGAGCCCCCGGCCAGCGTCGGGAGGGCAGGGAAGAGGAGCCCACCCAGATCTTCTCTCTACCACACCCTGGGCATCAGCCCCAGGTAAACTCCCTGTTTCTGGGAGGCAGATTCCATCTCCGAGGGCCTCAGTTTGGAAGAACCCCTAACTGATTTCTGGTGGGGAGAGGGGAGCCCGGAGAGCTCTCGAGCTACATTGAAGCTACTAGCGAGCTCTCCCAAAGGGCCGACCCATGCTGGGGGGAGTCAAAGAGGAACTGTGTGCTAAGGAACCCACCCCCGAGGAGTTCACTCCCGGCAGTAGGAGAGGCTGGACACCTACTGGGCAGGGCGGGGCAGGGCACAACTTTGATGACTCAACTGAAAGACAAGGTTTGTAGAAGACACGCCTCAGCCCTGTCCTGAGCACACAGAGTGGGGAGAGGACCGGCAAAAGGAGGCAGAGTCTCAGAAAGAAAGAAAGAAAGAAAGAACAATTACACACCCTGCGGGAACCCTTTGCA